GAGATGCACTCTTTGAGGAATAGCGTAAGAAGCAAACTATTTAACAGGTTTGCTTCTCAATGATCACAGATCTTAAATGGTTTTGAGACAGATCTCTTTCACCCATTATGATAAAAGCTCTTGGAGGACAAAATAAATAAAGACACATTCACATAAAAGTGCTCAGATGCCATGTAAAAGAACATTCAACCGTGCCAAGTACTATCATGTCAGTTCTTTATTAAATCCACCCACCTAACAAGCCTTCATTAAAAACCATTCTTGCCAATCCTTCATTCTAGCACTGAACATGTTTTTTCCCTCAGCGTTCATGAAACTCGAGTCCCATGAACCCTGTAAAAAGTGTCAGCATAATAAATGTTATTTAAAGTGAAGGGGAGGTATGAAGCGAGGACATCTACAAATAAAAAGACAATGAAGTAAGTAACGATTCCCCTCTCCTCAACAGCCTTGTCCCTTGGCACGGAACATTTCTTTTTTGGCCAAATGTGTGGAGCAATTAGTGCTGGCCCAGGGCGGGAAACATATAACTAACTGCTTAGTTATGGCTATGGGGAGACAGAGCAGAGACTCACATCATCCTTCCATGCCAAACCCCCACCCCCTTCTCCAGCATGGCCCCTGGAAGCTGTGTTCACCCAACTCCACAGCACGCCCGCCAGCCCACTCAGATTCTACTGTTTGCAGGGACAGATCTCTCCCCCGGCCCAGAGCTCAGTGTTCAGGCAGAGGGCACGGAGAACGCACTGCACACCAACTCCCCAGGCCCTGTGGCTGAGTTCTGCTTTTATTCTGTACAAATCTGATGAAGCCTTGATTCCTGAGAGTAAGACAGTTGTCCTTCCAACTAATTTGGCGCCATTAGTGCTAAGGGCAGATTGGTCACAGCTGTCGATGCATTTCCATTCACCAAGGATATGAAAAGCACCACCCTTCCCTTCCCACCTATCCTCCCTGCCTCTACAGCCACTTAATAAACAAAGGGTCCCCAGAGACTCAACACAAGAGCCCGGCATTGGAGATCACCATTCTCATCCCTGTTTCATCACCACTTCTGAATAATGTTGACTAAGGCAGCTTTGGTTGCTAAAATTTTGAATGTGAGGGCTATAATATTCATTTCATAGCTTTTTTATGCATTTTATAGGTAAAGGTACTTGGGAAGGATTTTAGCTCTTTGGTGTTGACAGCAAAAAACAAAAGCATATTTAACATTTTGCCCCATTTTTTTCACTAAATACACATGGTCTCAACATCCTCAACGATGGTTTCATTTAGCATCCTCTAGAGTTCAAAGAGGCCATTTGGTCCTAGGAATGTACACAGCATTATATAATGTTATCAACTATTTAAAAACTTTACTAAAAGGATAAAACAGGCCATGAACTGTATCTGAAGCCCGCTCTTATGAGACTCTCAAAGACTCTTTTATAGATCATTTGGAAAGATTAAAGAAACCCACCCTATCCATCAGAGTCCCTGCTCAATCTAAGGTCCCGTTAAACATGAAAGAGATCCTTATTTTCTTCCCAGCATCTACAAATTTCTATTTCTCCATAATTGCGTCACTGGGTGTTTTACTTGTAACTGCTTTCATATTTATTATCTCATTTGATCTGTAAATACTCTAAAGAGCTATATATAAAAATGAAATAACAGCTCCATTGTTCCTCGGGGCAGGAGTGATAGTCAAGACCTCATCTCTGTCTCTTTCTCAGAGGTCAAGTATGCAAAAGTCAATAACTAGGATGTTGGGCACAGGAGCCGAGGATGGGATTGCCATGGTGGTGGTTGGGGTGGGGAGGGGACGGACAGGGGGTGCAGAGAGAAGGGTGTGGGAGAGAAATGCAAGGAAATAAGACCAACAGGAATACGAACAACACTTTTTACATTTTCAGAAAGCTAATTTCTGAGTCTGTGTATGGTGTGAGAAAGCAAACAGAAACCATATATTCTAGACTGTTTTAGTACAATGTCTCTACGTAGAGAAAGACTTACATGTTCTTGGTGTGTGTGTAGCCAACAACTGGGAACTTGACTGCCCAGCTGAGGTCAGGAGGGCTTTTTCTCAGACATGAGTCTCTGTTCGATATTGGGGACCATGTCAAATCAGCATTTACATAAATGTTTTTTATATCAGTGTATGTATATCAGTGAACTTTCACAAAATGTTACCACTTACAAATCTTGAGAACAAAACTCAACCTTGAGCTGTGAGGATATGTATCTACAGGACATAGAGATAAAACATACCACTAATGAGGGAAAACAGAACTGAGACTGACTACTGAGGGATATTATTTTTATGAGTCAATAAACCAGAGTGGACAAAATCAGAAGCTGCGCTACTGCAAACATGCAAAGTGGTGTTGGATACACCAGTCACCCTGAACCAACCATTACAAGTGTGTATGCATATTGAAATGTCAGACTTTAAAATCCCATCATTATATACAATTATGGGTCAATTAAAATATATTTTTAAAATAAGAAAAAATTACTTGATTACTTATTTGAACAATTAGGTTGGTTTTCCCAAAATAAATGGTTGTTTCTTAGGAGGATTCAACTAAGAAGAAAATCTGTCTATTATAAGACATTACCATAGTATAATGAGCAACCCTTATCCCAGTTTAAAATTCTGCATTTGGAAAATGGAGGATGCTACAGAAGTCATTTAGAGAATTATAAAAACAGGTTAGAAAAAGATGAAGGAAAAGATATTTTTAGGAATCAATACCTTGTGTTTTAAAAGCTACCCAGAGGCCAGCATTGAGGTGCAGCAGGTTAAGCCGCCCACTTGGGATGCCTACAGCCCATATAAAATCTCTAGTTGGAGTCCTAGATACTCTGTTTCTTATCCAGCTCCTTGTTAGTGCATCTGGGATGGCTCAAGGACTTGAGTCCCTGCTGCCCATGTGGCACACCAGATGGGGTTTCTGTAGAATCAGAATCAAAATGGAGTGAGTGTGGCTAAAAGCTAATTGCAGATCTCTTGCTTCTGTACATATTAGCTTTGCTTGCTAATGTCTAAGGGTGTATCTTGTGAAACTATGTGGGCCCAAATTCCCAGGAACTAGGTTGACCTAAGTGTGTCCTCCACTGTTATCCTACAGCCATATCTTGGATCTGTTATCGGGTTTGTTATTGTTAACTGTTATCTTACAACCATATTCTGTTTTCCTCTTTATTGTTCACTGCACACCAGGGGTCTGGTTAGAAATCGTGAGCCCTAGTAGACAAAATACTATAAAAAGCTGTGTAACCCGCTGCTGGGGGCCGAACTCTGGTAAGGAGTGTTGGTCCAGATCGGTGGCCGGTCCTGATCGGTTACCTTGCCTCTCATTTGTCTCTCATTTGCTTCTCATTTTCAATAAAATGCATGTGTGACTGTCACTGGTTTTTGTAACATTTTGTTTTAGCTGATGAGTGGATGCAACAGTTTCTGTCTCCTAGCTCCACTGTGGACTACTGCGAGCATTTGGGGGAGTGAACCAGTACTTAGAAGATTCTCTCCCTCTCCCTCTCCCTCTCCCTCTCTTCCTCTCTTCCTCTCTCCCTCTTCCCTTACTTCTCACCCCAGGTTTCCCACCCAGCCTGGGGTGGTGGTGGTGGTGGTGGTGGCGGTGGATAACTGCTCATAGAATACATTTCAGGAACTCAAGGTTTCACTAGGTGAGTTTGGATTAGGCAGAAAGTTTCCAAGAAACAAAGAGAATCGACCCAAGAAAGCTTTAACAACCACACGTTCCTGAGTGGTTGTAAAATTTTTGGCTATTTCACAGGTAATTCTTCTCAACTACAAATGACATCATTTTTGAAATAAAAAAAAATTGGCCTCCTTTATGCTACATTTGGTGCCACATATTGTTTTGGTTGAGCATCAGTTGACTTTTCTATTTTTGCTGGGAAGTTGTGTCATAACTATTTTTAGCAGCCAGTGTCTGGCTCCATTATTTGTGGGACTCAGGCTTTAGGATGTCTTTCTCTGAAGTTCCAAGAATCTAAGTTTTGTGGAGAACGCGTTCATCAGCTAATACTCTACTAGGCCCTGCAACATATTTTAGATTGATTTGTTCATAGCTAGCTCCTGTTTTAGACAAAGAATTTGGTATCTTACAAAGTAGTGAAGTGAGTGTAGCTTTGCATACATAAATTTGCCCTTGTCATATTAATCACAAATTATGAATGAATTAACATCTGAGCTCCTCTGGTAACTCTTCCTTTATCCTTAAAAAACTACCTATAAATTAAAGTCAAGTGAATCATTGCATTTCCACAGGATGTGATCTGACACATTAGCTGAGCTCAACACAGAATAACTTATGCAAGAATTGTGTAATTATGGCGATTATTTATGCACAATAATTTAAGTGAATTTGTTTAATATAAAAACGGACAAAAAGGAAAACCTGAGGCCAGGCCACGTCCATCTCTGGTTTTTCACTGCCGTGCATTCCCTTCGCACAAGCACCAGCTGATGGAGGGCCAGCACGGAACAGGGGCTCCAGGCCCTCTCCTGAGGGTCTGCAGAATGCACTGCCCCAGGTCTTGGAAGGGAGACCCAGGCTTCTGTAGTTTTGGCCGCTCTCACACCGGGAAAGGGCTGTGATTAAGGGCAAGGCAGCTGACGGGCTCAGTAAGGTACACCTGACACCCGCGCACCAGGAGGCTCGAAGTCTTACTCCATCTTCATCTGTTCTGCCACCTGTGCGGCCCTCTGAGGGTTCAGTGTAGGACTTACAAACGTACCCTTCTGTTATGGCCAGAGTGTCACTATTCTTGCTCCAAACACATAAACGATTTGTTAGAAAACATTTTAGGAGGGTTTCCACCCATGAGCAGAACCCCGGGATTTCTCTGAAATGATGACTGGCTGAAACTTTCACACCCCTTCTGCATCCCAGGATGACCATCCCCAACACCTGGGTTGGCGTGGCTCCTTTTCGGCCAGGTTAATTCTCCCGCATGACCAACTCCAAAAGCAAAGTTTGCCTTACCTCCACGATGCTTTTTAAATCCTGCACGTAGGTCCTCTCGGTCTCGAGAACTTCCTGGACCACTCTGTCCACGTAGAGGAGCTTGGGGCTGGTGGCCGGCTCGGTAGTGGCTTTGGGCACTCCGCCTGCGTCCTCTCTCCACTGGGCGCCGGGCTGCCTTTCGCCGTCCTCGTCCACGTTCTGTGGCCTGGCTGGGCTGTCCCTCGGCAGCTCGCTGCTGGAAATTGGCGTGGCTGGAATCAGCTCCAGTTTTATGGCCCCCGCTTCCTTATCCTGGTGAAACAGGCCCAAGTGGCTGTTTGAAACCAAGGTCATTCTGCTGCCGCCGAAGGAACCATGGCTGTCCCGGGAAGAGGCTGAGGAGGAGGTGGAGCCAAAGCTGACAGGTCGGTCACTGTCGGAGAGCTCCATGGTCTTGGGTCCTGGGCAGCAGGGGTGCCTGGCTGTTGTCTTGGGATCTGGAACTTCAGCTACAGCTGATGGCACTTTGCGACCCAATGGGTGTCCATCTACATGCATTCAAGAAAACAACAAAAGGACAAGATAAGCAAGGTGGGAAGTTGTCTATTTGGAAATGCTATCGCACAGAGGCTGAAAGGTTAAAACCTAGCCCAAGCCTATGCAGTCAATCACCAAAAGGCGGCCCTTAGCTACAGAAGGTAAGGCCAAGGTACCTGCGGTGGACTGAGATGCAAAAGTGGAGTTGCTCCAACTGCAGAGAGATCTGGGCTCTGCCCTAGGCCCAGGGAACTGGAATCTGCATTTTCACTGGGGCCCCAGTGTGATTCGGACACACACTGAAGCTGCAGAAGCGTGGCCTTGTTTCAGAGTGTGACACCCCCTCCCCGCCCCCAATGACTCACATATGCAGATTAGTCCAGATTGACTACATTAGGGGCTCTGCAGCCAAACCACGAGGAATTTAGCACTTTAACAAGCGCCATAAGTGGTTCTTATATACTTAAAAAAGGACTGTCCGTGATTCTTACAGAACGCTGAGAAATCCTGTTCTGGTTTTTAAGTACTCTGCCATATTCCACAGCATTTTAAGCCGGTCTCCTGGAAGCATCATGACTGGTTTCAAGGACGCTGACCACTCCACATTTGACTGGTGCACAGATTAAGGAGGAGGTGCACAGACAATTTTCTATACGAGGCAAGACAAATACCCTGAAATGGCAAGACCCACACCTCACTGAAAACACACCCTCTCACCGCAACACATTCTAAAGCTCTTCTTAAAACACTGACAGTCCCTCTGTGGCACGTACGGAGCTATGCTATTGGAGAGTCTATCTGATGAACTACAACACTCCACAGGGAATGTTATAAAATGATGGTGTAATTAGACAATTAAATCGGAAAGGCTGGAGCTAAGTTATGAGACAAATGAGGCTGTTAGTGTTTAGAAGAGGACGTGAGAGAGACAAATGCCAAGTCAAAAGGTCACTTACTACCCACAGCAGTAACACATGACCTTGGACCCAATGGGGCCTACGTGAAAATCAAACTTTCAGAAGCACTCGGTGGAACCCCAAGTCCCAGTCTTCATTGGTAAGGCACAATGAACATTCTCCTCCCCATAGGGCTGGGATGTGATTCCAGGTTTATAGGAGCAAAATGCCTTTGTGATAAAGAATGTGACATTTGGCAGGTTACCTTAATACCAGCACCTACATTTACGGATTTTGCTAGAAAAATAGAAAAGTGGAGCCGGCACTGTGGCTCAGTGGGTTAATACCCTGGCCTGAAGCACCGGCATCCCATATGGGCGCCAGTTCGAGAACTGCCTGCTCCACTTCCAATCCAGCTCTCTGCTATGGCCTGGGAAAGCAGTAGAAGATGACCCAAGTCCTTGGGCCCCTGCACCTACATGGGAGACCTGGAAGAAGCTCCTGGCTCCTGGCTTCAGATAGGCCCAGCTCCAGCTGTTGCAGCCAATTGGGGAGTGAACCATCAGATGGAAGACCTCTCTCCCTGTCTCTCTCTGCCTCTCTTCTCTCTAACTCTGACTTTCAAATAAATAAATAAATCTTTAAAAAAAGAAAAAACAGAAAAGTGAGGCTTGTACATCTGGAAAGTCATAAATAACAAATACAGGAACAAGAATATAGATTAACAGTCATTTTTCAATAGAATGTGAATTTGTTTTGACTCTAATAGAGGTCAGATGGTACCAATATTTTTAGAATATAAAGAATCTATCAAGACTCATCATTCAACATACTGACTTTTTGTAAATTTATTTATTTTTCTTTGAAAAGCAGAGAAAGAGTCAAGCAGACAGAGAGATTGAGATTTTTCCACCCACTGGTTCACTCCCCAAATGCCTGCAACAGCCAGGGATGGACCAGGCTGAAGCCAGGAGTCAGGAAGTTAATTTGGGTCTCCCTTGTGGGTAACAGGCACCCAGATACTTGATCCATCATCTGCTGCCTGCCAGTGTGTACATCAGCAGGAAGCTGGAACTGGAAATGGAGCCAGGAATCAAAATCAGGAACTCCGATAAAGGCTGCAGGCATATTAAATGCTTGCCATACACTGGCAGATAGGAAAGCAAATTTAAAAGCAAATATTAAAATTCCGAATATAAAATAAAGGAACTATGGATCAGCAAGGAGGAATGGTAAGAAAAATGTGTAGGAAATAATTTTTCACCATAACCACTACCAGATGGTATGAGATTGCTACAAATTTTTTAAGGCTTCTGCAGTATTCTTCCTGTTTGTTCTATAACAACTTTATGGCTTATAAAACATCGATTGGTTAGTTGTTAGGATACACTTGACCTAAAAGCCTTGATCCAACTTGAGTGTGGCAGAATTCCAAGAAGCAGCTGTGTGTTTAAGTGTGCTTTGCAGCAAAGGGTGTTCACAAAATCATGGGCATTTCAAAGTAGGTGCAGACACGACCAGGCTTTCTTCCCACTGGCATCCAGCGTAACTGTTACCATGAGGTTGCTCTCACTGTAGAAAATGACAAACATGGGAGGTTCAAGAGGAATCTCTAAGGTCTCAAGCATTCGAGGAGGCTGATTTAGGACCACATGAAAGGTGGATATATTCTGTCTGAAAGGCCAGGACATCTGGCAAAGGTGAGATCAAACAACATAGTCTCTCTTTACCTCTGGATACTGATCTCCAGGGCAAGTTCTGATTTTCTAACTAGACAAGAATCAATCCTCTTTCCAGTGCAGGAAACTGTATTACCTAACCCTTGGCACACTACTCATTATCAGGACTAGTTTAAAGATGAACACAATAGGGGTCGGCATTGTGATACTGCCACTTGTGATGTCAGCATCCCATATCAGAGCCTAGGTTTGATGCCCAGCTGCTTCCGATCCAGTTCCCTGCTAATGTGCCTGGGGAAGCCTTTCAAATCACTTCTAAGGTGGGAAGAAGTGGGATGAGAAACTGGGGCCAGGCTGGTACCCCTTTCTGTGCAAGTCTTAAGTAGCAGCTTGAAGTTGGCAGTGTGCCAAGGAAGGCTTTTATGTCCATACCAGGCCACATGCTTGAAACCACTGAGAGAGCAGCCAACCAGGCACTCTATGTAAACAAAAGGTTTCAGATATTTGGTGTCTAGAGCAATGAGCTAAGCCTGCTAGCCTATATGAATTACTTTTCAAAATTACCAATGACACAAGTGAAACATTTAAAGTCAGGCTGTATAATAGCAGGTAATATGAGAGTGCATTTGCTAATGGATAACATTTTTTATGTTGATTCATTGCTTAGACAATAATTACAGTTTTCACATCTAAGGAAATGTACCTCATAAGAACTGTCTAGCCTTGTTCTCACCTCCCTCAGAAGAGTTGAAGATTTTCACCCTGTCTGGTCTATTTTTTCTGATACAACTCACCAAGGATGAACATGTATCTTAGAACACAGTAGCCATTGGCCACATGTGGCTATGGAGCATTTAAGATGTGGCCAGTCTGAACCGAAATGTGCTGTGTCAAACACACACTTGATTTCAATAGCTTTGTAAAAAAAATGTATAAAATATGTTAATAATGCTCATGTTAATGACATGTTGAAATAATATTCTGGAATAGTAACAAACTTATTATTTGTACTAGTTTCATGTTGCTTGTTAAAATATGATTACTAGAAAATTAAACATCACATATATGGGGTGGTTGTTGCGGCACAGCAGGTTAAGCTGTTGCTCCTAATGCCCACATTGCATATCGGAGTGCAAGTTCAAGTCCCAGGTACGCCGCTTCCAATCCAGCTCCCTGCTAATGCACTAGGGAAGCAGATGGTGGCCCAAGTCCTCGGATCCCTTTCAGCCATGTAGGAGACCTGGATGGAGTTCCTGGCTCTTGACTTTGGCCTGGCCCAGCCCCATCTGCTAGTGCCATTTAGGGCATGAGCCAGTAGATGGAGAAGCCCTCTCTTTCTCCCTCTCTCTCTATCCCCCCCCCTTCTCTCTCTTCTCTGTCCCTCTGCCTTTCAAATAAATAAATAAATATTTTAAAAGTTTATCTTAAACATTGCATATATGGCATATATATGTCAGTTGGATAAAGCTGATCTTGAAATGCATTATTTTTCATGTTTTAAATTTACCTTATCAATCTTTGTTAAAATAATAGAGAATGGGAAAGATTCATGCAGCTCAGTTTGTCTTTTTTTGTTTTTACTTCATTCACTAGTACACAGTATGAGGAATCTTCAAATACTGGAAAAATGCACATTCTGAACAAACTAAGCATGGGTTTATTTTTGAACCAAAATAACTTTTAATTTCATTTTTCCCCAAACTTTTTGAAGCCTATTTATATTATGAATTTGCAAAAACAGTTGGAAGATAACCTCTGTGTAGTAAATATCAAGGTGACTGATTTTCTGTGATGAAATACTCAGAAAACTGAGTATTTTTGCCTCTGCCTTGAGTGAAAAGTGGTGGCAGGTGGTATTAACATTGGGAAAATTTCCTGCTTCCCTTCTCCTAACATCTCTCTCTCTTCCCAAATCCCAAACATAGGGCTAATAATATAACAATGTCTGAGAACTTCTTGATAAACAGGCCTAATGGCCAATATCAGGTGGATCTTATGACCACAAATTTACCCTAAAATTAGCCGGTTCCACCCACTGTGAGGATGGGGGATGGACCTGGAGGGGGTGGGGTAGAAGCACCTGGGCAGGGGCCTTGGCATCTCTTTCTTACAACTAGAAGTCCTGGTTAGCCTAGAAGCCACCAAAATAAAATATTCCTTTTGTGTCCCCCTCGATAGAAAGGAAGTAATGATGGAGAGCTTCCACACATCTTATTTTGTAAGTCCCTCTTCCTAATTTTTTCCTATGTGAAAGATTTCAAATTCTTTGGCTTTTCTTCCTTTGCTATCCAACTTCCATTATTTTAATTGCTCTCCTTTGGAATGTCACTGCCAGAATCCAAAGCAACCCTTCCTGGCTCTAACTGATTTTTCAGGTTGATTTAGGTTTGCTGCAAAATTTTCCATGGCTCCCTGTGACCATGTTTATGATTGGAA